TGTTTGATATTTTATCAATTATTTTGTTCGACTAATCAATTCGTAATATATGACATAAGTCATCTTATCAATCATATTTGATTATTCATTGATTTAAACAACATCTGCTATTTATGTATATATATAAACCTAACTTAATTTCTCAGATTAACATAATATTCATCTTTCTATTCTTGAACAAATAATGTTTACAATTTTGTCTTCGTTGTAATTGACTCTACAAGAGTTTTCACTCAATATGATCGACTATGTTGAACAAACTTCCACTTCTTCGTCTAAATTCCAATTATCAAAAAAGGTACGTAAAAAATAAGACGAGAGGAGTAGAAAAAGGAATTGATCGTGCAATCGTTCTTTTAGATTCAAGTGGACAATGCTGGTTTTATAAATAATCAAGCTATTGAGATATCGAGGTGCCAGTCAATAAGAAAGAATGATTATTGGTTGTGTGAAGCAATTTTGAACGAAACGTAAGTCAGCCTCAATATTGCCGATGTTTGTTCAAATTAAACTGAATCAACCGAACTGTGTATGAGTACCGTGGATCAATTAGCACATGAAGTCTAATTTACAACTTCGTTTCCATGTCTATCCTACGTCAGCCTTTTGCTAATCTGCTTTAGATATGACGACACATTGAGGGATAATGTTGGTTTCTACTTACATTGAGGTAAATAGTGAGGTTGAAAGCGTTCTAAAGGAATTAATTGATACAATAAATGAAAACAGCGAAATTGAACATGTTTTGGAAGAATTATTAATTCAAATTCTTGAAAATGATGATGAACTCGATTGCATTCGTGGAATATTCAACTGTTCTTTATCATTTGATGCGAATATGACATTTATGGAGGAGGATGTAAAGCTGTATCCACTACATAACATTAGTGGTTTGGAGCATTATAACGAAGACGATGAGAGACGGATGATAGCCGAATTAGATGGACGAATCAAACAATTGGAGTTTGATATTGAACAACAAGAAGAAGAACGGAAAAATGGTAGTTTTATATGTGTAACAGAAGTTTTTCATAACAAAGATGTTTATGTTGTTATTGACATTGCGTAAATTCTTTCTTTGTGCATAATTAACATATTAAAGTACCAAGTTTAGGTTCTGTTATAAAAATTTATAACCTATATTTTATTTTCCTTATACTTTAGTTAAGGTGTAATGATGAGAAAATCATGTCGAAGTGCAGGATGTCATAGCACTAGTCCTAATTGTGTAAAAACGAGCAGTAGAACTGGGAAAGTACAAGCTCGAAGTCAGCCCTAAAATACAGTGTCGCAGAATACCAAACAACCAAAAAGTGGTAAAACATGCATTCTTTAAATTTTTTTTATGGTTTTTGTTTATGTGTTTGTATTTAACGTCCTTCACAAATTTGACCATCAATAGTTGCTAATTGATTTGATTGCACGATGCAGATTTGAATATTGTAGTGGAACTGAGCATAAGTTGTCTTGGCTCTCGGGAAAATCCTTATAGCTCCTGATTCAAACAGGCAAGCGAGCTCGGCCTTGTGTAGTGTTGTAGAGGCCATATTTTAAACATAGCAGTTGCTTCAGGAAGCCAAACAGCAGCGATATCATAATTTCAACCAATTATCACAATTTTTTTTCTTGCGATAATAATCATGTTTTAATTGTTCTCGAATGTTTTAAGAATATCTGTATAAGGTGTGTGTTTCTCATCATATGTTATGGTATGTTATATTAGAATAAAGTTAATTAGATTATAAATAAAGATATAGAAGATATTTAGTGAACGTATATAGAACATAACAACTGGTACACTAGCGGATATTATTGTAAATTCAACAACACAATAACAGTGCAAATTATTTCAGACAGTTTCCTTTGAGTCCGGGCGTACGGTCTAGGAGAAGTTCCCATTAGTAGAAATTCTCAGTGAAAGCGAAGGAGTTTTTACAATAGTGATTTAAAATTAGGTGGAATTTAGCAAACCTGGTGAACACAAGAGGTACCGCCGATCAGCAGACGGCAACCAACTGGAGTGATTCTTTATAGAATATGAATACATTATTCCCATGATGTAGACAAAAAAGTTTCTTTGAGGAGATGCAATATTCTCGTGAAGTATTTTGGAGTAGCATAGTAGCAGTTTCTCGATTTCTCTCGCACCCGTCTTTCAAACTTGACTTACGAGGGAATGTCCCCAACTGTCCAATCGCTTTTGAGCTGAACCTAAGTGGACAATAGGTAATCGAGGGTGCTGAATCCGAATATCACAATCGTTTGGGCTAACGTTGGGTTTTCGAACCGGTTTTCCGAAAACCCAGTTTTTCAGAAACTCTAAAAGATAACCAAAACCTTTCTTAATAGGGCCTGATTGTAGCCCGCACATATGTGATGAACATGATACCTTTACCAGCTCTACATGACTTTTCTTTGCAAAGTTATAGAATTTACAAGAAAAGCTCTTAATCTTGCTCAAAGCTACAGAAATGAAGAAAAAATTAATTTAGAACTTTTCTTGTAAATTCTATAACTTTGCAAAGAAAAGTCATGTAGAGCTGGTAAAGGTATCATGTTCATCACATATGTGCGGGCTACAATCAGGCCTTTAAGAAAGATTTTGGTTATCTTTTAGAGTTTCTGAAAAACTGGGTTTTCGGAAAACCGGTTCAAAAACCCAACGTTAGCCCAAACGATTGTGATATTCGGATTCAGCACCCTCGATTACCTATTGTCCACTTAGGTTCAGCTCAAAAGCGATTGGACAGTTGGGGACATTCCCTCCTTAGTCAAAACTGAACTTCTTATCTTTAACCTAGAAATCATTAAACAAATACAACTCTCTTATTTTCTCCATGTGCCAGTCAATTGAACAATATATTGTACATAAAATAAGGTTATTTTCTACGTGTACTTTTGTTCAGAATTCATCCTAAAAGTACTGTCAGGTAATCACAAATGCACGAAGAATACAGCCACCTTTTCGCGGTGAGATGTAAATATCGGTGAGTGATCACGGAAAATTAGGAGCGGTCAATATAAGTAGTCATTGAGTCATTTTGTAAGGTGAAGAATTTCAATATAGATAATAAGAGATACACAACCTTTTTCATCATGAAAATAGTCGATTTTCATGATGAAAAAGGTTGTGTATCTCTTATTATCTATAAGTAGTCATATTTGATATTCTTGAAATTTCCGGAATGAGAATCGCAATCAGATTCAATCTTAATTTTACTTCTGATTCAAATTTTTAATTTTAATATTCAAAGTTTAAATTACACCCAAGAAATTATAAATACATATACATATATATATCAATACAGATACAGACTACAGACGCTGTATCGAGTAAAATCCCAGAATCCCAAGAATTCATAGATACACACACATATGTGAATACAGACTGTTTAGACGCTTTAGGAGAATGTACAACTTGTCGATATTTTTACTCTGGTATGTTTGGATTTGCTAGGTACATTCTGTATTCGTATTATGACAGCACTCAATTAATAACTTAAACTGAAGGAGACTTACCTTGTGCGCCTCGTGTGAAGTTGCTTTCAAAAAAATATTTTCCTAAGGGATGTACTGATTTGTTTTACTTTTTAATCTAATTCATCGACAAACTCTTTTTTCATCTTAAGAAAGCTTTTAAAGCCCTACAGATCATATTTGCATTTTCTGGAAGTAGTATAGAGAAAGTAGAGTTGTCCAATAACAGGACTTATCGGAAGAGAAATTCCAACTAATAGTAAACTTTTCAATATAAGTCAACACATTCTTTTTCATCAATCTAGTCGAATGATGTGTGAAGAGAATTTGTTTTCAATTAATTTCGGCAGCTTTTTGATGAATTTGGTTGATGACATGGTTTATTGGTAAGTTCCCGTAAATTGTATCGTTTACATGCTTGTTGATATCATCTCCTGTGGACTGTAATATGTCAACATGTTTCTGGATCGTCGTTCTCAAACTAACTTCGGCAGAGATCATTGTACTTGAAATATATTGCAGTAACTGCCACTATTGAAACACTATGTAGAAGCCAAGATTGGAATCCGACTTGTTTGTGGTGAAAACGAAAATGGAATAGCCCATTCATGAGTGGAAATTTGATAAACACTATTCAATTTATTCAAGCACATATAATTCAAACTTTTGAACAGTCTATTCGATGTTTCAGACGGATTGAACTTTCACACATAGAACGCGAAAAAGAATTTTCTTTTTAACTGGAATGGGTGAGTGAACATTCGATCCATCATATCATTAGTAATGATTGAAAAGAAATATAACTAATATGTAATATACGCGCAATAACCCATATTAAGAGAGAAATATCAAACATTTTACTTTCGTCTCTATTCGTCCTAAAGGGAATTCCAAATAGAAAACGAATCGAAACGTACCAAACAAGTTTCTATTTTAAATTCTAAAAGTCTTATTTTGCTTGTCTGATAAAGGAGAAAAGTTATTTTACATTGTACGATTGATTGTAAAAATCGTTCTTCACATGCTTTGGATATTTGTAACGAAACATTGATGGGGTGAAACCCCACACATGAACTCGAATAACGTAGTCCAGTTACATGGAGTATCTCGCAAAGGAACATTTTGAAATGAGAACTTTAATTAGTCTATCTATTACATAAGATTGATTTGATGTGAAATTTTGATTCATATTCCTATTTCTTGAGAGAAAAATAACATACCTTTTCATTATTGATCCGTAAATGAATTTGTCTTCTTTCGTATTAAAAAAACCATTAACCAAGTTTATGTGCTAGTTTTGCAACATGTCATTTTTTACATGAAAACAACTCTTTAGTTTTTACCAATTGTTTTAGTATTTAAGCAATCGCTACAAATTTATTTTATCATGAAACCCTATACTTCACCAGTCTAGGGTCAAGTGAATCGATTTTCGATCAACGTTACTTGTAAATACCCAAAATCAACAAAATAGTTATATGTTTCTGTCCATCTCTCTTTTTCTGATCTTTCGGGACATGTTAGCTTATTTTTCTCTGCGTTGCTCGTATTTGACGGCGCAAACAAATACGCGAGATCTCTGATTGAGCAGAGACAGTTGTGGCTTATATGCAGTGACTCATAACGATAACATTTATATATCAACCAAAGACGGTCCAAATACAATACCATTAACGAACATATTATCAAACATTTGTTTATTTCAATGGCAAAAGAACATATTAAATGTAGTGTGACATAATCAAGAATTATTTGAAAGTTAGTGAAACCGATATTTTTGTTTTAACTTCATACGTTTTTACAAACTATTAAATCTGTCTCTATGAGATTAAATGAACATGCCTCTGCTTCGACAAATAAATAAAGAGTGTGCCTTCCTCTCTCTTGAGGCAAAAAAGAACGAATCTGCCTATTTCTCAACATTCGAAAATGATTTTTCTCATCATTCGCCTTTCCTCGATGATCAACGTATATCCATGCATATATATATCGGCGACGCACAACTGTAGAAACATACATTGACCACTTGCTCATTTTCATCTATTACTGTCTTTGTTTGATCAACCTCTTGGTGTTGGCGAACTTTTTTCAGCGTCCATAGATGCATACGTGTACGAGACAGCAGAAATCGTCGCATAAGAAAGGTAATCTAGGATTTATTGTTTTTCTCCCATCATTTTACTTGACGTTCTTCTAAGCTTTAGTCGATCTCTGATCTTTAGTGGATTTTGTCCTGAATGGATGACGTCAATACTTCTTCGTTTTCCAGATGTTTCGACTATTTAGAAAAAGAAGAATTTGTTAACAAATTTCAAACTACACGATAGTTTTTTACCGTAAATGTAATTGTCCGAAAATTTAAATTGAATTTCTTGGACGTTGTTTTGACGATATATTATTCACTTCATATGTTCTAGTTCATGTATTTACGGAAGGAAAGCGAGTATTTATGGTTTATTTTCAGATATTGTTTGGAAATAATTTAGTATCTCGATGTCATCTGTTATCATTGGTTCTAACTTGATGACAATCCATCCGAATTCCGTTGGGGCGCCAGCATAAACAGTACACGATGCGGCAAATATTCGAGCACATGGTAGTGTAGTACCACGTATCAGCGTTCGCGATTATTTTTATGGTGACCATAAACAGGAAAGAGATTTATTTTTGCGAGCATTCAGTGCATTCGAGAATAACTCGGACACTAATGATCCTTGGTCATATTTTGCCATTGCTGGTATTCATGGATTACCTATTCGTCGTTATGATCCTACTGACGCTTCGCCCGATGAACGTGCCTGGGGTTATTGTGAACATGGTACGGTACTGTTTCCAACTTGGCATCACACCTATTTATTATTATTCGAGATGGCAATCAAACGTGAAGCGTTGAAAATTGCAGACAAATTGACTGGTACTTAAGAAGCTAAAGACAAATGTCGTGATGTAGCTGAATCGCTACGTGTACCATATTTCGATTGGGAAAGTAAGGAAACAAATGGTGAAGTGCCAGATGTCTTTACTGAAGAAAAAATTAAAGTCAAATATCCATATAAAACAGAACAGTCGATTGATAATCCATTATTTTCATACGTATTACCTATTGACTTGAAGAAAAATAGCGACGTGTCTAATCCCACGAATGACGATAATTGACAACCAACTATCTAAATGGAGAAAAATTGAAGATAATTTTTGTTCTTAATAGACCGTTTTACTGCCAATGTTAGAGCTAATTTAAGGGTCTTAAAACGAACGAATAATATGTGGTGATAAATCTTGACACACATTTTATTTTTGATGAAATCATTTAAGTGAAGATTGAGAAATAATGAGTCACTCGGATTTTTGTTACTTGTTATTTAAAATCGAGCAATTTTATTAAACCACAGTTTTTAGAAGTTTGCAGTTTTATATCAAGACCTGTAACTGACAGATTATGTTTTTTTAAACGGCATTTAAGGCACCTGTCTAGCATTATTCATAAAAGAGTCTACATCAACATTAATATTCATGTATTATTTTTTCGTATCTAGAATAAATTCTTACTGGCAAAAAGTCGTATTTGTCGTAATCCGGAATCAAACGTAAAATCGTAACGTAAAATCTGAAGCCAAAGGACGGGGGTCGATAAGAGGCAAAATCGGTCTCTTCTCAGATCAAGATCATATTCACCAGTCTGATGTAATTTTTCTCGCTGATTAAAACTAGCATCTCAAAAAAACCATTTTCAGCCCCCCTGGACAAAATTCCGCATCCAAACTTTTCTCCCCTTTAATGAACTGTATTTAGAATATTTTCCCAGTTTCTCCTCTTTGCCCAAAGGAAACCTAAACTACTGTACATCATTCAATAGAGAATTTCGCCGGCTACAAAATGATATATATAATATTGAGAGCAAATGGGGCGTGCGTGTCCTAACACAAGAAATACTAGGCCCCATCTCCACAAATCCATAGGTCAGCAGCGTTTATCTCTTATATTGTCCAACCAGTTTATCGTTAACCACGCCACTTTATATATCATTCGATAGAGAATTTCATGGGCTTCAAAATTGCGTATTAATAAGTCTTTGAAAACTAGGCCCACATGCACGAATAGTTGAAATACGTGACCGATATAATGATTTTCAACTATCTAAGTGCTTTAAACACTCCTTTGGTAAGCTTTCTGCCATAATGAAAAATTATGTATTTTGCAATAACATACCATTGGATAGCCCTTGAAAATCTCTACAAAGTGAGCAGATCAGAACATCCGAAAAGGTGGGTCCAGTCATTAAAGATATGGAAAAGAAGAGTTGGGGTATTATCTATGTAGTACTGTGTGTCATTATCGCTCGAGGGAGTTCATGACAGTTTTCATGACCTCATTGGAATGGGCGGCTTTCCGATGTCTAATCTACAAGGTAAATGGTGCATTCGATTTTGATCATAATATAGATAGTACCAAGATCACATAATCTTCTGTCCATCATATAAATCATAACCCTGTTTTTGTGATCTTCACCATACACCCACTTGGGTATTGGTATCTTTAACTAACTAACTAACTGTACATCATATGCTTTACTTCAAAACATGATTTATTATGAAGCCGCTTTACGTTCGACAGAATCAAACGGTAGATTTAGAAAATGTTATTCTGAGATTTGAAAAGTATGTGTAGAAATGCAGGAGCGGTGGGGCGATATTTGATCTAAATGGTGGACGATAACTTATATGTTTTTAGTATTATACTTAATTAAAACAAGGCAGTATTTTGCTATGTTTTTTCCAATGTCGATAGGATGAGTAAACCCGTTGTTTTTATTTTTCCTCAGTTGTTGCATTTGATTCAATCTTTTGGTTTCATCATTCTAATGTCGATCGTTTATTGGTATTTTGGCAGAAGAGCCATTCTCAAGAGTATGTTCCAGATGAACCAGGCATTCAAGGTAAACACAAAAACACTCCATTGGTACCGTTTTGGGTATCGAAAGAAGATGGAAAGTATTTAACATCTGTCGAACTGGAGTTTTGTGAAAAATGGGAGTATACATATCCTGAAACAGAATGGAGTATGCTACTACCTTCTGTACTTCTACGTACACCAGTTCCACTTGATCAAAGTGGCCAATTAGACGTTGCTTCTGTATCCGAACCATTTAGTATGCCACAACAACACCGATGGAAGATTCTACATTTGGTGGTATTCATTGGTATTTGAATCTTCTCAACGTGCCGAAACCTCTAGCAAATGGCTCCTTTGAGATTCGTGTATTTATTAATTTACCCAATGCAAATATTCGCACACCATTAAAGGTTCCAAATTATGCTGGTTGTGTTTCTGTATTTGCCCGTCCTGATGAGTCTGAATGTGTGACTTGTCGGAAAATAACTCACTTCTGTGGTAGTGTCAAATTAACTCCAGCAATGAAAAATTTAGGAATTTTAACCGATTCAGAGATTTCTCCAGAAATGGCAGTCGAAGTAATTAATCCAAACAAGATGCCAATGATTGCGATGTATAATACAAAAAAAGGAAGATCCATTTACATTGGTTTACATTTCTGTAACGGAACAGGAAATTAACCCACCGACAGAAATTAATGTAACGCTGGCGGTCTGGCAGTTCATGATAAAAAAATCGCTAGTCAGGAATTCGAACGAAAGGATGGCGCCTGGCAACCGCTTTCAATGGAACTGACTGTTTAGGCGGAGCTCTGTAACTAACAGACTAACATTAAATGTTCTTTTTTCGTAGTAACAATTGTAAATCTTGATAATGTTCTAACGAAAACTAGTTTTTTCTTAAAATTGTACACACTGTCATAGCTTTGGGATGTTATAATTGATTGTGCTAAAACGAATAATAAAAGTAGAGAATGAAGGGTAATAATCGAATTATTCCAATATTCTTTACGGCTTGTCCACGTAACTCGAGACTTCGCCGATCAAATTTTGAAAACTTATTTTAGAGTAGGACTGGAAGGAGCATATCACTCGATGCGGTTTTTGGTGCTGATTACGGATCTCACATTATTCTTTTTAAAAAGTTTCGGTTCGGTTCACGATTAAATGTCATCACAACTACCCAGCGAGGTGTTCGAAGATCTGCTCGAGTTGCGGCTAAACCGAAACCAGAATACTATCTTAAAGCAGAAGAAGAGAAAGAGGAGTTCGGAGAGCCTTCTACTACTTCAAAGAAAGAAAAACTAATAAAATCAGCAATGTACAGACATAAAATAGAAACCGGACATGAGATTAACTGGGAAGGATGGAAAATTATTTCAAAAGATACAAAAAAATATCGTCTACTCGTTCGCGAATCTCTGCATATTCCAATCAATCAATCAATTTTATTTTAGTCCATGATGTTAATAAAATGACAGGATAATGACAAAAGTTCAACAAAGAACTTGTCTAGGTCATCCCCAGTAAAAAACAAAACAAAAAAGAGATATAAAACAAAAACAGTTTGAACAGTAGAAAAAAATGGCACAGTAAATAGAATATGGCTT